GTCCACCGAGTTGAGCGGACCGTGACAGGATGCCACAAAGTTACCCTGGTCCCACACGAAAAAAAGGTGTAGCCACACCATACAGCATACCCACTGCCCATGCTAGAGCTGTAAGTCCCAAAAGGGATCCCAGGGAAGCTGCCCTGCCTCAGCCTCTCATCCCTTTTGAGGCATGGGGATGACAGAAACAACAGACCACATCAAAGCCAGGCACAGAAAACCTCTCTCCCAAAGTCTGTGCAACACCAAGCAAAAAAGATCACCCACACCCTCACCCTGCTGTGGATGCTGAACATGTTACAGTGCTGAAGGCAGGGTGGGTGGCTTTGGCTGGGTACCTTGACAGCACACCAGCCCCACCACCCTGCTCCCTGATCCCCACACTTAGCTCAGAAAATGTCTCCTTCTTCCTCTACCCTCACCACCCCACACTCCTCTTTTCAACCAGCCCAAGCTGGCAAGAAGCAGAAGGTGCCAGGAGGACCATAAATCTCCACACTGCCTGAATGAGCAATGCCCATGGCTTCTTGCCCCACTCCCTTCCTTCCCCTCTCCACTCTTCCCAGGCTGATGACCTCAGTGTGGAGGTGAACATGGCTGGGAGCAGTGTGAGTCACAAGCAAGGAAGGGCAGCCACCAACCCAGTCACCCAGTCTGGAGAGGTGTGGAGATGTCAGGATAACTGGTTCTTCTCCATCTACCAAAACCAAAAATACACTTGATGTTTTAGCGGACTGCATCATGGGAAACTTTGCAGCCAGGGGTCTTCACTATCTGCAGGATTATGTAGAAGCTGAGAATGAATTAGAAAGATTACCTAAAAGTTGCATTTAGGGACAAAAAGTGACACAAATATTTGTGACATCCTGTGGTGAAGTTATCACTGTACACCAGTCGTAACTTCTCTCACACTCCAAATACAACCAAATGAGGACCCCACCACATTTGAAGGATCCTGTATGTCATGGTGACTGCTGCATCACTTAGCAAGAGCTGCAGCTTCAAACCCTGGCTCAGGAGCTCTGCTCATGGTTTCCTGTGTCTCGATCACACCCACAGGTCCCCATCACGGCTGCAGTGACAGCACACCCGTAAGCACCTCTCCTGGAGGCATGCAAGACATCCAAAGAATGAAGCCTGAACTTTCTCTTCTTCCTGTGGTTCTCATTCCACGTGCTCAGCTACATCACAAGCCTTCTTTACACCCTTAAATATTAACACGGTTCTTCTCTTCATGTGGGATTCTTCATTATCATATGGATAAATGATTAATCGTCACCATACTGAGCAAGTGTAACTTTTATAACTTTATGAATCAGCACTGGGCTAAACCCTTCAGGAATTATAAGAGTGTCCAAGCATTTATTGCACTTTATTGTTTCCTGGATCCCTTAAAAGGAGTCACTGACAAGCAACCATTTACACAGACTTGAGAGTCTGCCCCAGATGTACTGAGCAGTTCTGTATTTCAAACCGCAGACAAACCTTCTTTCCCAGCAATTTAACATGTCTTCAGCAGACAACTCTACAGCCTGCCCAGCAAATGCTACTGTTTGCAATGGTACATCTTGTGTCTTACCAGAAGATAATTTTAATGAAACTTTGAGTGTAACTTTAAGTTCTGTACTGACAATCATGCTGGCTTTGGTCATGTTCTCCATGGGCTGCAATGTGGAACTTCGGAAATTCTGGGGCCACATAAAAAGACCCTGGGGTATTTTTGTGGGTTTCCTTTGCCAGTTTGGAATTATGCCTCTCACGGCCTTCTTGCTGTCCCTGGCCTTTAACGTGCTTCCTGTCCAAGCCATCGTGGTGCTCATCATGGGGTGCTGTCCAGGGGGCACAGCCTCCAACATCATCGCCTACTGGGTGGATGGAGATATGGACCTAAGGTAAGAAGAGGCACTGTTCTCTACATGTCCACTATATGTCCTTTTATATTGTAAACTTTATATTGAAAAAGACTGTCTCAGTTTTTTTTCTTCGGTTCCAGGCCCATGCATGGTGGAGCTTTCTTCTTGTAAAGATGTTTAGTTACTGTCATAGTGGTAAATACAAGCAGAACAACAAATATCTTTGCCTGAGAATTCATGAGGAAGATAGCACAAAAGGATTGTGTGTGTTAGAAAATGTCTTTATTGTAAATCTTCAGATCCTGCAGAAAATAGCATTTATGAAGACCACTAAAATACTATGGATTATGAAATCTTTGTCCAAGTTAGTTACTTTTGTGATTTTGTTTCTCCCAAGATCTTGGGCAGTAAAAAAAAAAAGTATCAAAGGAGTTTAGGATCTGAATCCTCTGTACAAAACAGTGGCTGTGCAATAGTCATTGAAGTAAAGTTTCTTGAAAAACACCACCTGTGAAAAACTGCTTTTCCTCCTTTTGTGTTCTGTACAATGAATAGACGAGTATAGATTTTTCTGTTTGGGAACTAATACAAATGAAAATCACTTGCAGTAATTCTATCTTTTCCTGGCACCATCTGCAAAGTCTTCAAACTGAGGGAAAGTTTTACAGGCTAGAAGTCACTGACTGAGGCAGCCCTGCATATTGGGGGCAGTGAAAATCTTTGTTGTGGCAAAATGTGATGAACACAGTGACGGGGTGCTCTGAACTGAGAAACAGAGATGTAAGGCAGCTGGCATGGTCTGGGACATCAAACACACAGCAGAAGTGAACCCTACTCTTTATGCAGATTCCATGGGGTGTTCATTAACTCTAACAGCCTTTAAAAACGAGCCATCTTTTTATTTTTATATCCTGATTACCTTGTTCTAAAATAAACAGGATCATTTCTCTGTTTCCCACAGAGTAACATAAATTGGAGTGTTTGTACAATTTATCATACGCTCGTCTGAACTAGAAATGGAAAAAATAATAGAAGAAAGAAAGATGTGGAGCTAGGGCAAATAGACTAAGAATGTTAACAGTTGTAGCTTTAATAAGACATTTTTTCCATCCTTTGAAAATAGTGAACTTTTCTGTCATATACAGGTGTTAATGTAACACCAGTTTTCTAATTATGTATGAGGTCAGCTCTGCTAATCACCAGCTTCCTCACTGTGGAGGAAAGACCTATGACATTAGGAGCTGTAAGACAATTTCAATAAATACATATAGAAGAAACCACAGATGGAAATATATCCAGCACAGCTCTGAAATTCTGTTCTAATCTTTCCTTGGAAGAATATACTGAGCTAAATTATGCTTTTTCATCTCCATATATTCAGAATCACACCACTGAAATAAATGTTAAAAATTCAAATTGATGATGCTATAAATATGGGTAGGGTTTGTATCCCATGATGCTGGCAGAGAGCAGGGTAGATTGAAAATACCCACTAAAGGCTATTCTTCAGGTGAAGGCCTTTACCTTAAGAAGTCAAAGGCTTTGGTGAGTACTTCTGTGATGATACTGCAGGGAGCAGAGGATACAGGAGGTGCAGCTGGGATGGCAGTGCAAGTGTCCTCAGTTCCTGGCAGAACAGTAATAGTACAGGCAGCTTGGTCAGTGTCTGGAGCCAGTGCAGCCATGCAGATAGACTGCCCATCATATCAGACAAGGTTTGGGGTTTAACTGCTAACATTCTATGTTTATCCATAACAATTCATCCCCATTGTCTGCTGTCTGGTTTAAAACATTCCAGTGCAAATAGATCACAAGTCAGAGAAGGAATTAATTTTCTACTTCTCATATAATCACCTGGAGGCTAAGTGTGAGGTCTCATATCTTCCTTAGTAACTCAGACCAGGCAATATCCTCTAAAGCTTTCCATAACAACATCTGGGTTTGACAGATCTTGGTATTTCACAAAAAAACAACTGCTTCTGAAACACCAGCCCCTCTCCTCCACAGCTCCCCTGGGAGCTTCCGTGAGCACAGGGGCAGGATTAGAGAATAGGCACCCTTATTTTAGATGTCTTGCCTTTCCCTTCTTCTTCATTCCTGTAGAAGAATGCATCTTATAGTAGGACGTGTATCAGCCCTGACAGTTACAAGACTTTATATTTTAAAACAGAAATGTCTTTGCACAAACTAAGGAAGCAACACTACTTACGCTGAGCTCCGCTGAGTAATTCTCAGCATCTGCTCTTTGGCCTAGAGCAAACAAGCCAGGAAAGGAAATTTTATTACATCGCACATCGCAGGCGATGAAGTATTTCTGGTTTATGCTATTGCCTTCTGAGTGAAATTCTAACACTCTAGAACTGCTGGTATAATAGCAAGTCCCATCTGATGTCCATCTGACCCCATCCAGCTTGCCATGCCCTCAGAAGCCAGCCAGGCAAGCAGCATGCAGACAAACTTGCCAGCCTGAAAGCCCTTCCTGAAAGCCACTCGTTTGACTTTCTCATTTGCACTGAAAGTTATTGTTCTGTGGCTGCAGAACACATTGATATTTTATGTTCTTTTCTTTTCAGCAGAAGCCATACCTTCCATTTAGCTTTTTTCCAACCAATATACAGGATAAATTGACTGTAGCCAGCAGCAGTTCTTGCCCAGTCTTTCATAAGCTGTGTAGCTGTAATAAGAAAGTGAGAAAGACTACAGGCTAGCATGAGATGAACTGACACTCCAACCAATTTCTTTGCAGCATCAGCATGACAACTTGCTCCACACTGTTTGCAATGGGAATGATGCCACTCTGCCTCTTTCTTTACACCAAGATGTGGACTGATTCCAACGCAATTGTACTCCCTTATGACAGCATTGGTGAGTCCAGTGAACCAGCATGTTCCCTGCTGACTCCCTCCTTTTACCCTGCCTCTGGTAACAACCATCACCCTGCAAAGCCATGAAGAAATGACCCTAGATTTTAAAAAATATTCATCTGCCTATTTTCCAATAACTCCCATGGGAATCAGATACCCAGATGACATCATTCACGGCTCTGCAGAACAGACTTGAAATCATTACAAATATTGTGCAGATATTTATCAAGAGATTGTGCCTGGTTTTTGTTCCAAATGGTTTGGATACCTGCATGGCACTGGGATAAGAGTGCAGAATTCATGCAGGAATAGCTGCTTCCCCTGGATGAAAGCGTTTGCAATAGCTTTAAGGCACAATCCTGCAAAGTGCTAAGTGCTGAGGCCATAATCTGGCAAAGTACTTGAGCACATGTGCATAATTAAGCAAGTGATTAAAACTGCTGAGTCTCTTTGAAAAGCTGCAATCTACACTGCCAGGAGTGGCTTCCTTTGACTTCCTGTCAAAAATCTCATCCAGCTACAAAGAGAAAATAGTCAAAGTGTTTGGAAATACATGCTCCAGTGCTTTGCAGAGCAATAGCCCTAGTGCTTATCAAGTGTGATTCCGTGTTGTGCTAATCTTAAAAGCCAGCAGAGTCACTTTCATATTCTTCAGTTTAATTTCCCATTGTCCTGGAGAAAAAAAAAATCACATACCTTGCTTGTAACTTTCAAAATAAACACTAGAGGGGGGAGGCCAAAACAAAAGAAGCTCTAAACGGGTTGTTGATATAGCACAGTGGTGAAACACCTGCAGACAAAATGAGCATTTAATGTAGCTCCTCACATCCCAGGGTGGTGATGATTAGCACACTCCAATTTCTGCCTGCCTTTCTGATGCAGGTGAATGAGCATGTCGCTCAGCAGAATGGCAATTACTTCAACAGGCTGCCAAAGATAACAGACTCCACAGAAAAGCAAACGGGCAGGTGTGGGCAGAGCGTGCTCTGGGGTGCTCATACCAGAACCAGCCTCTGCAGGCTTGTTCTGTACCCCCAGCCCCTGCACGGGCTCTGGCCCGTCGGGAACTTCTGCACAATACGTGGGCTTAACTTCTCTCTTTTTTCTTCCAGGAATTTCACTGGTAGCTCTTGTAATTCCTGTCTCATTTGGAATGTATGTTAACCACAGATGGCCTAGTAAAGCAAAAATCATACTGAAGGTAGGCTGTATGAGGCTGAAGGATTAGCAGTTATGGAATCAGTGCATCACTGAGCAGTACACTGCTATTCATAGCACTGGAGTCTGGCCCCACAAGAGCCAGGAAGTTTCCAGCAGAGCACAGAGGAGACACTGCAGAGATGTACTGCTCCCCCTGCACAGACAGGCGTGGGTTGTGTTCGTTATTAGAAACCATCATCACCCAAAGAGCCTGCTCTTGTCTTTGGCTACAACTCTGCCCATAACCGAGTTCAGTTTATAACGTAAACCGAAATTGGAGGGAAGATCGTTCAGGTCTGCTGAAAGCAGTTTTTCTTTGCAAAATAATGAAAAATGAAAATATTCTGGATAAATAAGACCCAACCTTTCTACATTTAAACCAGTTTGTTGATCGGGGAGGGGGCAATTTTGAGTGTGAAGTCAATTTTTACTTTAAAAAATGTTGAAAATGTTCCAACTGTTAAAAAAAAAACTAACCGAACTATGCCCAAAATTAAATTATCTTTACAAGTTAATTTCAGATGCATCAAAAATATGGTGTTTCTTGTTCTAAAAGTAATACCAAAATAATAATAATGATAATAATAGAAATAACTACTTAGCTACCTTTAGTGTTAACAGCAAACAAATAATTCTGAACATTAAGTTTAGGTTTAAAGAAATTGTCAGATGTGTTGAGTGCCTTTGTCAACCATTCTTAGTTAACACATACAACTTCTAAATTTTCTGGAGGAAAACTAATCTGGCAACTTGTTATTCTTCCTGTCCTGTAATTCTCCCTATTTTTATCATTTCTCTGCTAAGCTCAGGACACATAGGACATCAATAATGTCCTTTTAAGCCAGTTCATTTTCTTAGACTGTTAGCTTATTGTGTTGTCCTTTTAAAGTATTCTTAAGTGTTCACAATAAAGCCCTCCCAGCTTACTTAGGAACTTGGATACTGTTTAGTGCTGATTTCAAAACTGTACTATTCTTTTTTTCATCGTTTAAGGGAAAAACATGAACTTGAACTCACATGAAAGGAAACTCTGTCTGCTCTGCCAGCAGATCACCATTTCACTGTCTTTTTACTGAGTTGGTGAGCAACTCACATTAGGGTCCGTTGAAGGTTTGCTTTATGTAGGACAACGAAGCATCAAGTGGAGATTGAGCCATACCTGTCAGATTAAGGACCATGTAGTGAGAAATGGAGATAGGAGCACAAGGACAGTGTGCCAGGTGAAAGAAGAGCTTGTCACGGTCACACCATGTTTCTTCTTCCCAGGTGTATTTGTTCAATAGCTCAGTCAAACAAAAGTACTTGTTCACTCAGTGCTCTTAAAAAGGCTTCAGCCAAAGTCTGGCAAAGTCAGTTAAATAGGAACACATTTTATCCAAGAAATGGATTCTCCTAAACTTAGACCTAGAACCCTGCCAGTAAGATTGCTGGCAACTTATTCCATAAGAGCAAACATTTCACTTGGATACTGAGAAGAGAGTGAGTTATTTTTTTTTTTAGCAAACAGCAGTGAAGATCTCAGTCCCTTCAGCCAGAGGGCATAAGACAACTCAGTGACTACAGTTATGCAAATATGCTATATGAGCTCAAAACCTGTTTTCAGACACAAATTTTCAGCCACATTAAAGATGTACTCCTCCACCAGGCAAATAACTTCCTATCACTAACAATCTAGTGCCTGCTTAGCACACGTTATACTAAGCCCCAGCCTGTGACTGCCCACGAAGTGGGGAGGAAAAGCACATTGTACTGGTTATTATGCTGCCAGCTCCCCAACAACGCGGGGGAAATGTTTCTAATGTGCACACCATTCCTCGCTCACATCACACCTATGAAATTATTTTTAATCTCCAGTTCTGAATACAATTATAAGCAAGGCTTCAAGAGACTGGTTTTGCAGGTATCTGCTGTAGATACTTGTTATAGCCATGCCCTGATCTATATCTGTAGTCACACGTTGAGGTACATTGTGTGTGTCCTGCCTGGGGAAAACGACAGCTATCTAATCTGTCTGCCTGCTGTGAATTGCTTTGCCATAAATTTAGGTTTTATGTTTAATAAGATGTTGCAGTGACTCGGAGACATTCACAGGCACTTTGACAGTACGTTTGATGCCATTAGATTTCATTAGGGTCTCTTATTCACACAGCCCTCCCTCCTTCTCCTCACAGGTTGGTTCCATTGTGGGAGCACTCCTCATCGTGGTCATTGCTGTGGTGGGGGGAATACTCTACAGAGGCTCCTGGATCATCTCACCCAAATTATGGATCATTGGCACCATATTCCCAGCAGCTGGCTATTCTCTGGGATTCTTTCTGGCCCGTGTGGCGGGTCTGCCTTGGCACAGGTATGGAGTTGTCTGTGACAAGTACCTGTAGGCTTTTTTCAGCTGTGAAAAAAGGTTTTAATGACTAACCAATGCTGAGAATACTCTCTAAACATTAGCTACACTGCAGAGTCACTCATTCCCCAGCCCTGTTTCTGGGCTGCTACCTGCAGGTAACAGCTGCCTCGTGCACACTCTGCCTGTGCTGTTTGCTCCCCGCTGTCACACAGCTTCCCCTTGGGTGCCTGTGTCCTGCGCTCCAGGGGAGTGAAGCAGACCTGAGCTGTGAGCAGGCTGGGACCCCAGTAAAACTTCAGTGAAGAGGCAGCAGCCTGCAATTTAAAACCTCATTACAAGAGAGGGAGATAGTGAGTGCCACGTACACGTCTTGCAGGTGGATCACGGTCCTCCACAACTGAGGAACAGACCTAAATTCTGTGTGTTCTAGTGCCAACAGCCCTATAACTTGTGGAGTCTTTCATTAACTGTATGAACTGAAAGATATCATTTTCTTAGTTGTACTTTACTGTATGTTTCTTGCTTATCCAGATTACTGTAAAGTGCAGGGACCCACAGACTGTCGTATTATTCCCTTTAGGTGTCGCACGGTGTCTCTGGAAACAGGCATGCAAAACACTCAGCTGTGTTCAACTATAGTACAGCTCTCCTTCACGCCAGAGCAACTGGAGTTGATGTTTACCTTCCCACTCATCTACAGCATTTTCCAGGTGTTGTTTGCACTACTAATTTTAGCAGGTAAAGTATAGATATTTTCTAGTATGGCATTATCATTATCATTATTAGTCTCATTTTTCACGGATACGAAGAAAACAAGAAGGAATAAAAATATTTTATTCCTTTTATGAATGGAAAGTAGTTAAGTAAATAATGACCCAAAAGATTTCTGAGCATCACCGCCGTACATAACTAGGAAAATACAAAGCTAAGTTCACTATTTGGAAGACTCCTTTTTTTCAGCACAAAGATCTCCACCACCTGCAACCGGATGCATGAGGCTACATTGAGCAGAGGGGTTGTTATTACCCTTGGCCAAGGAAGGACAAAAGCACCTTCTTCCACCAGGGTTTCCCAAGGGAAACAGACAATACTTTTTAAAGTCTCTGCACACAACATGAGCATAAAACAGGCAAACATCAAATGAAGAATTTAAAACTTTTTCCTGCTTATTTTCTAAACGTACTTTTCCAGTAATGAGGGTTGTTGATATATTTAAATATAGCTTCAAAGAAACTGTCTGAAGGTGTTGGAATGTTTTAGCAATGTGAAGAAGGAAAATGTTGAATGGCTACATGTTACTACAATCTTTTGGGGGCATTTGTTATCATTTCTTTATTTAATACTAAATATATACTGATTCCCAGGCTACCGTGTTTACAGAAGACACCGGATCAAAACAAAGACAGATGCTGAAAAAACAGAGGAAAAAGAGGATTCTAAATCAATGTCATCACGTGCTAAAATAAACGGAGGATTTGTATCAAATGAGACCAAAGACACAGTTACCTCTGTTTCCATCAACTAAAAAGATATAAGACATACAGATTACTTAAAACTTTTTTTCACATGCTGTTGCTTTATGGAAATATTTAACAAAAGGTGAAGTTCTGCTGAGATTGTACAGTAAGACCTTTAAATTATTCACTTATTAAAGATTTTTACTTTGATTCTGAGCATGGCTTCTTCCACAGTTGTAGAATCTGGTTTTGAAGCCATTATCCTAAAAAAAATAAATATTTAACGTTTTATTATGGCTTATTTAAAGAAAGGGAGAATAAAGGTGAGGTGTTGCTAAATAAACAGGCAGATATTTGCATTACCAGCTCCAGCCCATGATCGTACAAATCCATCTGCTAGTCTCAGCCCCCACACCAAACAGTGTCTGAGCAGCAGCAGGAGTTGAGGTGGAAGATCTGCTGGAGGACTGCCACTGAACAGGAGTCAGCCATGACATCGGAACAAGCCAATAATGAAACAGTCTCGTTTAGGTCAGTCTGGGCAGACTAAAGTCTTTGTACTGAATTGGTCAAAGGATTAATTTATTCTCAAGTTATAGTTTTAATCAGTGCAAGGACCGTATGACTTCTTGTTTTTTTTCTAAAGTAATAGGAAATGACAGCTCCACATCTTCCATCTGGATCTTACAGGTGCTGGGAACATGAACAGAGAGACAAAGCTGAGGGCATAAGCCTAGACCATTTTTAGTGTGACAGCTGCCTACAAACTATTAAATTTGAACTCACCAGGTGTCTGTGACCTGTAGACACTGATGTAGTTGATCAAGAATGAGCGAACTATCAACACAAGGGAACTGAACACCTCTTTGTCACATTCAAGTGGATCTTCCAAGGTGTCGTGAGTTGGTGTGGCAGGCATTTTACAAACACAGGTGAAATTGTGGAATTTAAGTTCCCAACATGTAGCTTCCTACTGTTGCAGAAATGTGCCCAGTATTAAACAAGGAATAAATTATTCTATCTACCATAGGTGGGGGAAAGGGTCTCAGACTCTCTCCTGAGTTAAGGGAGGCTTAAAGCTGCTTCACTTTCGGGCGGAGTTCGGAGTGGTCACAACCTCCAAGGAGTTTAACACTTAGCAGGAGTTAGCACTTAGAGAAGCATGCTATGTTTTACAGAATAAACATTAAACTTAAAAATGTAATGAAGTCTGTTATGGAAAAATCATAAATGTGAAACAACACACTCCCTGAGGAAAGGAAAAGCTGCTGTTTGTAACATCTGTAGTAAAAAGCTCATTGTCTTTATCCTGTACCCATCAAAAAAGGGGCAGGAGAAGTTAGTCAGGATTGTGTCTCTCTTACACACCAAGCTGCTTCTCTTTCCCCATGCAAAACTTCAATGCTTCCACGCACATTTTAAGCAGATTTTGAAAAGGCATTGAAGGATATTAGTTTGTCTTGCTTATACTATGTATGTGTGTGTATTTGAAGGAACTGTATAAACGCTGAACTGAATAAAGTCAGAAACCATTTCTAATTTTGCCCACTGGAGTAATTTAAGGTGGAAAGAAGTGAGACTGAACCCCAACATGCAGATGAAGTTTATGGCTTTGAGATGTAGCAAAACCACCTCAGATTAAGTGTAAAATGAATATGTTTAATAATCACAGGATCAGAGAATCGTTTGGGTTGGAAGAGACCTTCAATGGTCACCTAGTCCAAGCGCCTGCAATGGGCAGGGACTTCTTCAACCGCATCAGGTTGCTCAGAGCCCTGTTCAAGCTGGTCTTGAATACTTCCAGGGATGTGGCATCTACCACCTCTCTGGGCAACACAAGGAAGAATAAAATGAGCATGGGATGTCTGATGCTATCTTTGACATACATTTTTTAATATATATGAGCATTTAGGCTCAAAGATTAAAGATGAAGGATGCATCTGTTTCTGCAGTTGTTAACAATTACATTTGGCAAGGGTGTTATATCCCAAGCTTTACATGAAGCAAAGCCAGCTCAGAGGTCTTAACCAATATATGCCTCTAGAGCACACAAAACCTAAAACAAACCCCCAGGCCTCTTTAACGTTTCCAGAAGCAGGCTTATGTTGACATGATAGCTGTTAAATCTCCAGCTGCAGAAGTCTGGGCAGCATCAATGTCTCTCCTCAGTGGTGAACATGGAGTGGGCTACCTCACAGCAGCATAAGGGACTTTGGGGAAAGTTATGTCCTCTCCTCAGAGGTCTCCAGAAAGATACTGTGTGTCTTTGGCTGTCAGCCATATAAACACTGAGATATGGGTTTCTCAGTTGAAAAAGGCTGATTGTCTCCACCCTTGCAGTTGCAGTTATCTTGGCACTGACGAAAGAAAAACCCCAGCTTACCAAGACCAGCTTGTTTAATCTTCTCAGCACCATCTCCTCTCAGGTTCTCCAGCATGAAAGTCCTTGTTTTTTAAGCAGTCTTCTATCCACTGAAAAAATGTGGATGGGACATGGCAGGATATGCAATTTAAAAACATGCAATGATGTTCTGGCTAACAAATACCAAATCTAATTAAACCTTGCACACACTGACAATCATGGATTTACCAGTTCAGGCTAAGGAGTCATCCAGATGCCTTGGCAGATTCTAGGTGAACAGAGCTAGTCTACTTTTAGATTGTCATTCATATCCAAAGAGCCTGGGCAGTCCCTGAGTCTTAACTCAGCTGCACTACTGGTTCACAGGCCATTGCAGGCAAAAGGAGCTAGAGTGTGTCTGAAGACAGACATACCCTAAAAGCTGAAGTGAGAGCTGAATTAATGCTTAGCTCATCCCAAGGTCTGTAGTATAAGGGTTGCAAGGACACAACAATCACACTTGCCAAACAAAAGTCTGTGTCCATAAATCTGGATCTAGACATGTCTTCCCTAGTCAGCAGAGAGAGAGTTGCACCACTACAGAGTTAATCAAGCCCACTGTCTCACACTGATATTGCAGGATGAGTTGTCCACTGGAATTGTCTATCTTTATAAAGTAGATGTAGGTAGCCTGACTTAGATCGAACACCAAGATTATTTTTTTACTCTCAAACAGAAAAAAAAAAATCTATATTAAATAACTCTTGTCTTCATTTCTTTCTCTGCATAAAGTCTCTGAGCACCCAATACAATAGTCTTTAACCAGGAAGACACGTCTTTATAATGGGGGGGTGGGGGGGTAGGAAATCTAGTTTAAAAATTGTCTGTGTGGTGATTCTAATCTCCTGTGAACATATAACTAACTTAGCTGACCAAAACACAGATGGAAGAACAGTTTCTGTTATATAGTGTGCTATGTTAGTCAGAAGAGTGTGCAGTCTGGACAGAATTAACAAGCAAATTGATTTGTAGTTTATGTAAATACGTTTCTTGTTATTGACTAACCAGGTTATGATGTTCAAAAAACACTATTAAAATCTCTGTCAATCAGTATTTTTTTTGGTCAGCCTCAGAAAGGAGAAATTAACTTTTTTTTTTGGTGGTCCAACTAATTAACATACTGTACTTTTGATGAAAATCTTAAACAATAATCAGTGTTTCCTGTCTCCCAAGGCACAAGCATTGACTGATCAGTATTTGATGGTCCTGCTCTCATTAGATTACCTGTATCACTTGCTGATGTCCAGAATTAAAGCAAATATAGCATAATAGTGCCATAATCAAATGGCAGCTGAGGAAGCCTGACTGGATTTTCCAAGCCAGAACTGAAGGGCAGTAAGAGTAAATCTCTGTTTCTAAAGTTTCCAAAGGAGTGTTCTTTCTGCCCCAGATGCACTAGCACCTCAGTTAAGATGAGCACTAAATTAACTTAAAATATCAAATGTAAAAATAACTGCCAGAATATTTGCCAGTCTTCAAACTGGAAATCCAGAAGATGGATAACTGAAAGCCCTGAAGGACTCCTAACATTTTTTCATTAATAGATATGTGCTGTGGAAATTACTGTATCTATTTAATTTCCATTAAAGTTAGGCATCTGTAAGTAAGTTTCCAGCATTGACCTTTATCCTTCCCTGAAAACAGTCAGGACTGTAGGCAGGAAAAGGTAGATAGCTCTGGAGAGCAAGGCATCACACCTCTCCAAACCTGATTTAGGTCAGGAGGAATTCTGGAAGGAGACAAAGAGATTATGCAGAATTGGGTACACAATTTGGTTGCCTGAATGTAGGCAGATAGTGAGATGTGAGGTGTCCTGGGTGTCCTGCCTGGCTTTCTGCTCCACCTCCAGAGTGTCACAGGTATTTTGTAGGTCCTGTGTTCTGCCTGCACCTACTGTGGCCCTAGACATCTAAAATGCACCAGACACTTGTTTAAGCAGACAGATCTTCCTTATGACTTCTGCACAAGACACCCTTATTTGCAGAGTTTTCCCTGATCTATGTGAATCCCTCTGCAGTCAAAAGAAGTATCACCACTTTGCAGGTGCTGGCTGCAAGCCTGGAAGAAGACCCTTGCAATATACTGCAAATTATTTCTGAATTTAGAAAAATAAACAAACACAAAAGTGTTACTTCCAGCTGCCTCTACAAACTGACCCAAAGTATGCCTCCTTAATAAGGTTCTCCCATCTCCACAGGGAATCTATCTCTCCACAAAAATAGATGGGATTTTGAAAGGGCTAGGAATAAAATTCAGTAAGGAGATTCCAAACTATGTCTATGGAAACAAAGAGCAGATTAAAAAGTACTAGTGATACCTCTACTTGCTCATAATGGACTTAATGTAAAATGATTCCATCAATTGCCAGTAATGCTTCAAAGATCATAAATCAACTTTCTCCCTCAGGTAAGGACTGATTTGAGAAAACACAAGACTTTACAAATAATAAGTTGAAATAAAGACCTTCAGATCTTTGTCTTTTGGACTTCAAGATTATTTGGGAATTCAGGCACGAGGACTGGGATTTTGACTCTCTAATAACCCATCAGTTGATAAATCTTTTGCAATCACAACAAATACTTTAGAACTCCAAAGATAAGGGAAGAGAAACCTCAACACACAAAAACTTACTGACCACAAACAGGGAGCTGATCGGTTTCTTTAAGT